GTTTCCCTGAACCCCTTCATAAATGTTACTTTGCTCACACTCCAACAGCACGTCAAGTATTAAAAACCATTTGTCTCCATTCACTCCTTTCAAACACGCTCACGCATGCCTGCTGGAAGTCCAAGCCCCTCACACACAAAACCTCCTTTACCCCATCCCTCCAACCCTTCCTAGGCCGACCCCTACCCCGCCTTCCTTCCACTACAGACTGATACACTCTTGAAGTCACTCTGTTTCGCTCCATTCTCTCTACATGTCCGAACCACCTCAACAACCCTTCCTCAGCCCTCTGGACAACAGTTTTGGTAATCCCGCACCTCCTCCTAACTTCCAAACTACGAATTCTCTGCATTATATTCACACCACACATTGCCCTCAGACATGACATCTCCACTGCCTCCAGCTTTCTCCTTGCTGCAACATTCATCACCCATGCTTCACACCCATATAAGAGCGTTGGTAAAACTATACTCTCATACATTCCCCTCTTTGCCTCCAAGGACAAAGTTCTTTGTCTCCACAGACTCCTAAGTGCACCACTCACCCTTTTCCCCTCATCAATTCTATGATTCACCTCATCTTTCATAGACCCATCCGCTGACACGTCCACTCCCAAATATCTGAATACATACTCTCTCCCTCCAATCTGATATCCAATCTTTCATCACCTAATCTTTTTGTTATCCTCATAACCTTACTCTTTCCTGTATTCACTTTTAATTTTCTTCTTTTGCACACCCTACCAAATTCATCCACCAATCTCTGCAACTTCTCTTCAGAATCTCCCAAGAGCACAATGTCATCAGCAAAGAGCAACTGTGACAACTCCCACTTTGTGTGATTCTTTATCTTTTAACTCCACGCCTTTTGCCAAGACCCTCGCATTTACTTCTCTTACAACCCCATCTATAAATATATTAAACAACCATGGTGACATCACACATCCTTGTCTAAGGCCTACTTTTACTGGGAAATAATTTCCCTCTTTCCTACATACTCTAACTTGAGCCTCACTATCCTCGTAAAAACTCTTCACTGCTTTCAGTAACCTACCTCCTACACCATACACCTGCAACATCTGCCACATTGCCCCCCCTATCCACCCTGTCATACACCTTTTCCAAATCCATAAATGCCACAAAGACCTCTTTAGCCTTATCTAAATACTGTTCACTTATATGTTTCACTGTAAACACCTGGTCCACACACCCCCTACCTTTCCTAAAGCCTCCTTGTTCATCTGCTATCCTATTCTCCGTCTTACTCTTAATTATTTCAATAATAACTCTTACCATACACTTTACCAGGTATACTCAACAGACTTATCCCCTTATAATTTTTGCACTCTTTTTGTCCCCTTTGCCTTTATACAAAGGAACTATGCATGCTCTCTGCCAATCCCTAGGTACCTTACCCTCTTCCATACATTTATTAAATAATTGCACCAACCACTCCAAAACTATATCCCCACCTGCTTTTAACATTTCTATCTTTATCCCATCAATCCCGGCTGCCTTACCCCCTTTCATTTTACCTACTGCCTCACGAACTTCCCCCACACTCGCAACTGGCTCTTCCTCACTCCTACAAGATGTTATTCCTCCTTGCCCTATACACGAAATTACAGCTTCCCTATCTTCATCAACATTTAACAATTCCTCAAAATATTCCCTCCATCTTCCCAATACCTCTAACTCTCCATTTAACCCTTTGAGGGTCGACAGGCCCTCTCCGAAACTCGTTCTCAGGGTCGGCCAAATTTAAAAAAAAAAAAAATTTATTTTCTCTTATGAAAAGATAGAGAATCTTTTCCCGATCATAAAGACACCAAAAGTTTGAAATTTGGTAGAAAACTTACGGAATTATGCTCTCGCAAAGTTAGCGGTCTCAGCGATGTTTATGCATCGGCGATTTTGCCCACTTTGAGCCCCATTTTCGGCCAATTTCACTGTACTAGTCGACAAAAAACATGAATATTTCGCTAGAACTCCATTTTTTCTATCGAATGGGTGCAAGAAACCACCCATTTATGAAATTCAACTATCCAGTACAGTGGTCAGAATTTAACAATTTTGCCAATTTCACACAAATTTCAAAAGATGCCAATTTCCGAATAGGGTCCAGAATAAACAAGAAAGACATTCCTGGCACTAAAATGACATTTCCTCTAGTCATTAGTCACGTCTCAAGGCCCCTCTTATATTCTTTTGCTTTCCACTTTGAATTTTTATTCTCACAAAAAATAAAAGATTTACTGTTATGCAGACTACTGCATTAGTGTAAAAAAATGGTATAAATATTATTGGTGTCACTTGTGTAAGAATATTAGACTCACCAGTTGACGTGTATTGCACGTTTGGCACGATTTGTTTACTTTTGAAGTTTGGTAAAAATCGAACATTTCTGCTACTTTGAGCTCAATTTCAAGGCACCTTTCTTGTAAAACCAGCCAAAATCATCTCAATTTCTGTAATATGTCTTCCATTCTATAAAATGAGACCAAGAAAACTAGAATACAACAATAAATACCATACGAAAATACACTGCAAAGTCGCTGATTTATTCCAAAAAAATGGTCAAAGTTTTTTTTTTCTCATTATGCACTGTGTGCTGCAGGATTTTTTTTAGACTGTGCGCACTGACCACATAGACCCATTCTTTCATATGAAGGCCTACCAGCTTTCTCCCACTAGATTTGAGGCCGCTAGAATTTATGAGTACTAGTACGTCAAAAACCCCTACGCGTAAGACGTACTAGTACGACCAAAACCCTCAAAGGGTTAATAACTCTTCTCTTCTATTTTTAACTGACAAATCCATTTGTTCTCTTGGCTTCCTTAACTTGTTAATCTCACTCCAAAACTTTTTCTTATTTTCAACAAAATTTGTTGATAACATCTCGCCCACTCTCTCATTTGCTCTCTTTTTACATTGCTTCACCACTCTCTTAACCTCTCTCTTTTTCTCCATATACTATATAGACAAAAAGAAAAGCTTATATTATGATTTTTTTTTTTTGTAGTATGCTTTACCAGAATGTGGTATTATTAAGCTTTCAAATATGCAAGTTATCTTAAAGTTATTACAATGGAAATAAGTCTTTTTTTTTTTTTACCCTACATTATTTATACATGTATCATAATTGTACTTGTGTGCACCCAGACCTAAATAAACTTAGGGCATTTGATTACCCTCATTACGAAGTCAGTCAGTCAGAAGTATTCGTGTTATCCTTCTGGGAAAGAGTTCTCTCATGTATAAATTTGGGAAAACTTTCTGTGGGTACTAACCTAACATGAAACCTAAAATATGCTCACTAACTTGATTATATTTTAAAACTCGCCCAATCCGTCACCTGGATAACTCTTGACCTTGGATATTTGAAAAGTCAGTGTTTTGGCCAGTGACTTGTTTTCAATGTTGATACATACCATTTGGGTTGGGTGGTCAGTCAGCAAGTGTTTTCATGTGTGTAATAAGTGTACTGTATGTATAAACTTGGTAGTCATAGTACTACTTATAAATAATATGTAAAACATTACTACCATAGATGGCATACATCTGTTGGTTTGGTGTGAAAATTAGATTGTAGGTAGTGGCCTGGTACACTCGATGTACGTATATGTACTTTATTGAGGTGAAAATTAGATGCACCTTAATTTAGTGGACTACGGGGAATGGTGTCTGGTAATGACAACTGTCCAGTAAATCCACATATTTTGCTGTGATTGTATAGTAGCAACAGACAATTCTGCAATCAAGTTTTGTCCATTTTCTGAAATCATTTTATGCAGTAGATATTGTCATTAAGTTTACTGCCCATTTATACATAATTGTATATATTAAATGTATTAGGTTAGGTTTATCCCATTAATATATGCTTTAACATTCACTATTCTTGTCTATATATATTGTACTCTTGCAGGTGTAAATGAATATTTCACATTTTTATTTATCTAGATCACGCTAGTACAGGTGATTTAATTTTTTCAGTTTATCTTATTGCTAAATGCAGGTTGTGTGTGCTTTGTTTAAATTGTTTTAATTGTTAAGAAACTGCTATACTGTTCTCGACACACTTGTACTGTCAACCTATGGGGATATATCACATGACAATAATGCCTGGAAGGCGATGTGCCAGTAATGCCTGGAAGGCGGCGTGCCAGTAGTGCCTGGAAGACGGCATGCCAGTAGTGCCTGGAAGGCGGCGTGCCAGTAGTGCCTGGAAGGTGGCGTGCCAGTAGTGCCTGGAAGGCGGCGTGCCAGTAGTGCCTGGAAGGCGGCGTGCCAGTAGTGCCTGGAAGGCGGCGTGCCAGTAGTGCCTGGAAGGCGGCGTGCCAGTAGTGCCTGGAAGGCGGCGTGCCAGTAGTGCCTGGAAGGCGGCGTGCCAGTAGTGCCTGGAAGGCGGCGTGCCAGTAGTGCCTGGAAGGCGGCGTGCCAGTAGTGCCTGGAAGGCGGCGTGCCAGTAGTGCCTGGAAGGCGGCGTGCCAGTAGTGCCTGGAAGGCGGCGTGCCAGTAGTGCCTGGAAGGCGGCGTGCCAGTATGACGTGGTTATACAGGCCAGGATGTAAAGTGATTTATTTTAAAACAGCAGGTTAGTTAGGTCCTTGCATCTTGGCAGTTGGAATGGTTTTTTATTATATACTATATGCCCCATTCTCTGGTGAACTTGAGGTCAGGGAAACTTCGCCTTTGAAAAAGGTATACCTGGAGAGGGTTTCCTGATAACTAGAAAATTCTGAAAAGTAAGTTTATTTAGGCACAGGTACACATGTACAATTATCATACATAGTGCAATTTACCTAGAATAAGGGGATCTTGTGGTCCTTATTGCAGATACTGTACAGTATTTTGTACTCTGTATAAAATCAAAGTTTGTGCCAGTGTATTATTTCATTGAAGAATTTGAGAACCAGAAAAGGATGTTTGTCAAAAATAATGCAGATTGCAATTGATAAAAGTAAAGTATATGTTTCATTTATAGTTGTTCTCCATCCTAGGTACTGCAATCGTGAATTTGACGATGAAAAAATACTAATACAACATCAGAAAGCCAAACACTTTAAATGTCACATATGTCACAAGAAGCTATATACTGGTCCAGGTTTATCCATCCATTGTATGCAGGTAAGTCAGTGAATATTTATGTAATTTATGTAACAACATTTAGATAAAGAAATTATTTAGTCAACCCCTGCTTTACATATGTATTCAGAATGTAATTTTTGAATTAAAACTAAAAAACAACTTACGAATTCCCTCCCCTTAACTACCCTTTTTGTGCTTGTAGAACATCCTTATGCTGGGCTGTAGTTACAGTCAATTTGAGTTTAAATAGTCGTGTATTATGGTGAATGTGTACCTTGATCAACAGGAAATAAATGGTATATAATACCGACACAGTGGGAATACAAACACATAAGCAGTATAGTGTGATCCTTTATTGACAATGTTTTGCCCACATAGTGGGCTTTGTCAGGTCACAAGCAGATCTACCTGGGTGGAAGGTACATGAGTAATTTATAGGATGAAGTCAGGTTGAGAATGCTGGGTCAGGTAGAGAATACTGTATGTGACAATCTACCGAGTAGGGTCATAGTCTAATACCTTGGGTAGCTTTGAAGAGAGATTGGATATATGGGTAGACCTTCTGCAGTGTTCCTCTATTCTTTTGTTCTTATGTAGAACAGCGATGAGGAAGTTTCTTGGCAAGGGGTACAGCTGTGTTATAGAAGCCGTTGTTCTGGTTGAAGTTCTTAAACAGATAAGTGATGATTCTAGAATTCTTCGGTATTGAGTATTGTCTTCTCTGGCGATAAGTCTTGCATTTCTGTAGTTGATTAAATGGTTGTGAGAATTTCGGTGTTGAACACAGGCATTCTTTGAATCGTCAGATCTGCCTGCGTACTGGTGTTATGAAATACGTGTTTGGAGGTCTCTGGATGTTTTGCCCATGTATAATTTGCTGCAGTCATTACAAGGAATTGTGTATACCCCTGCAGAGGATTGAAGCTTGTCCTGTCTATTACTGGTAATGTCCTTGATGGTGGTGGATGTGGAGGTAGATACTTGGAATGAGGTATTGGAAAAGATGCTGGAAACATGCTTGGCAATGGAGTTGGTGGGGAGGACTGTGTATCTCTTCTCAGCAGTGTCTTCCCCGGAGTGTTAAAGATGTTTAATGCCCATCGTCTGCAGTCTAATGAAGTGACAAGGATAGTGAAGTTTGGAAAATACTTGTTCAATTAGAGAGTATTTTTCCTCAAGGAAGTCATTGCTGCAGATTGAGCGTATGCAGGAAAAAGCCTATAATTACACCACATTTAGTTTTGGTGTCATGCGAGAGTAGAAGTAGAGAAGATTGCGTTGGTAGGTTTTCGATACTTTAAAACGTTATGACCCTACTCGGTAGATTGTCATGTGCAGCATTCTCCACCTGACCCAGCATTCTCAACCTGATTTCATCCTATAAATTACTTGTGTACCTTCCACCCAGGTAGATCTGTTTATGACTTGATAAAGCCCACTGTGTGTGCAAAACGTCAATAAAAGATCACATTGTACTGCTTATGTGTTTATATTCCCACCTTGATCAACTGTAAGGTGACTTAGACCTGCCTCACATTGGCCAGTAGGCCTGCTGCAATGCTCCTCCTTTCTTGTGTTCTTATGTAATATAAAAATTGGTGGACAAAGGCTTGATTAACTAGGCCACACACAGCCCAGCTGATCAGGAACTGACTCAATAAAGTCACAAAGTTCCCTTTTGACAACAAGGGGTCTGTTGGTAATCCCCTTTGTGTATGAGGGGAGGCTATTGAAGAGTATCATGCCTCTTATATTTATTGTGTTGTATAATTTGCATATCTAATATTGCAAGGGAAATTTGCACCAACCTAACTGTACTTGAGAGTTTAGTTGATCATAACCAGGAGAATCTAAAGGGGCTAGGCTACTAGGATTCCATTAAGTCTTGTAAATTTTTGGGGAATGATTTATAAAAACGTGTCATAAATAGGACTTAAAAAAAAAAACTGAAATTCAACAGGTTCATAAAGAAACAATCGACAAAGTACCAAATGCCCTCCCAAATAGAAACAACATAGAAATAGAAATATATGGAATGGAAGGTATACCAGAGGAAGATTTAAAAGAACATGAAAGACAACGTGCTGGGAGAATGGGTCCTGGAGGTCGGCGGCAAGACGAAGAAGACGACGACGACTCTCAATCTAGTCTCCCTGGGCAGTCAAATCCACCACCTCCACCTGTGCCTTCTCAAGGACCACCAGGACCTATGGGTCCCATGATGGGTCCCAATGGACCCATGATGCCAATGATGGGACATATGGGGCCAATGGGTCATATGCCTCCTTATATGGGTGGCCCGGGTATGATGGCTGGTCCAATGGGGCATTTGGGTCCCATGCCTCCACCTGGTGGCCCTCCTGTCAACAACCCACCCAGTACTTCACAACCACCCAATAAACCACTCTTCCCATCTGCGGCACAGGTACGTGTTGATTCTACATGTAATATGCATTGAGGAGAGTACAGTAAATGTTTTTGAAATATTCATATATATGGAGGCAAAGAAGGGAATGTATGAAAGTATAGTAGTACCAACACTTATATGGGTGTGAAGCTTGGGTTGTGAATGCAGCAGCGAGGAGGGGGTTGGAGGCAGTGGAGATGTCCTGTCTAAGGGCAATGTGTGGTGTAAATATTGTGCAGAAAATTCGGAGTGTGGAAATTAGGAGAAGGTGTGGAGTTAATAAAAGTATTAGAGGGCTGAAGAGGGGTTGTTGAGGTGGTTTGGTCATTTAGAGAGAATGGATCAAAGTAGAATGACATGGAGGGCGTATAAATCTGTAAGGGGAAGGAAGGCGGGGTAGGGGTCATCCTCGAAAAGGTTGGAAGAAAAGGGTAAGGGAGGTTTTGTGGGCGAGAGGCTTGGACTTCCAGCAGGCATGTATGAGCGTGTTCGATAGGAGTGAATGGAGACGAATGGTATTTGGGACCTGACAAGCTGTTGGAGTGTGAGCAGGGTAATATTTAGTGAAGGGATTCAGGGAAACCGGTTATTTTTATATAGCCGGACTTGAGTCCTGGAAATGAGAAGTGCAATGCCTGCACTTTAAAAGAGGGGTTTGGGATATTGGCAGTTTGGAGGGATATGTTGTGTATCTTTATACATATATGTTTCTAAACTGTTGTATTCTGAGCACCTCTGCAAAAACATTGATTATGTGTGAGTGAGGTGAAAGTGTTTAATGATGAAAATATTTTCTTTTTGGGGATTTTCTTTTTGGGTCACCCTGCCTCGGTGGGAGATGGCCTACTGGATGAATTTGTTTTAATGCAAGCTATATATATATTTTTTTACCATTCTAGTGTATTTTGTCAAGAAAAGTTGCTGTGAAATGGTAGACTTGCATTGAATACTGCATTGTTGATCATCTATATAACCCAGCACTAACTAAAAAGTTGAATCTGGCTCATATGGAAGGTGTGAATGATAAGCATTGCTTTACGTGTACGTGTTGCCTCCATATGGTCGTAAGATCAAATAGTTGATGTTTTGCCCATTTATTCTTTGTGGTGCAGAAGTTATCTCAAATTGCACATGCAAAAATTAGGCATTTTATATTATAGTTGTGGTAACACTTGAAAGGAGTATCATAGTCGTGTAATGTTACAAGGAGGGGGGAAAGTGGGAGCATTCTTCTGAGATAAGCGAGACATTTAATTCTGTAGAGAGAAGGAATGAAATTTCAAGACTGGTGGAATGAAAGGTATAATTCAAAAAGAAGAGGAGGGATTAAGTTGGTTTGGTTGAATAGAAAATGAGAGCAACATTTTTTGATTAGGTATATAAATCTTGGGATGGATATAAGGTGGTGTAGGATGAGTGAGGTGGGATTGGAAGGAGTGAAAGGGATAACATATTCAACAGTAATATAAGAGTATGTTGGATAATTTGATGAGTGAGACATGTGCAAAAACTTTGGTATCATTTCTGAAATGTCTTGCCTCAGTGAAAACGTTTGACATTAAAGATGCCCAGATTTTAGATAATAGTTGGGGTGTGCTGATAGTGTGTGCTAAAGGTAATATCAGTGAAGGGACTAGGGAAACTGCCAACAGGGCTTAAGCTTTGTAGTTAGGAAGTACAGTGATCTCTGAAAGTGAGGTATGAGTATTGTGGTTCATTGGTTTAACATTGGACTGCACTCTACCTTTTTTGAAAAAGGGTTCATTTTTTGTTTCACACTACCTTGGTGATCAGTGGGTTAAAAAAAAAAAATTGTATTCTTCTCTTCCATAATATACTGTTCCCATTCCCAAAAACTGCCAAGCGTCTTTGTCCTATTATAACTAAAGTTATAAAACTAACGCCCTGTTAACGAAGTACTGTACTGTATTCAACTGCATACTCATTGATATTCTTGCTGATGAACTAAGAACCTCTGATTTTCAGTTTGCATACAAGACTGGACACACTACAACGCTGTGCAGCTTATTGGTAACGGAAATTGTTCAGTATTACAACTCACAAGACAACTCTATTCTTTCTCAGTTTCTTGATGCATCCAAAGCATTTATCAAAGTTGAATCTACCAAGCTCTTTAAAAAATTACAAAAAGTTTTTTAATTGCTACACATCCTTGTGTATAATCTAAAGTCAGTAAAGTTTGTGAAATGGAATAATGTTCCTTGATGGTAGTGCACTTTATCCAAGGAGTTGGAGCTACCCCCCTCTTCCTTGAATCAAACCTGATTACCTCCATTTCTCTAGGCGCTGTATAACCTTTACAAGTTTTAGCGCCACCATGAATGTGATATCGTGTCAGATACAGTCCTCTTTGTCCTTTACTATTTGTTGACTTACTTTAATCCACTGTTAAGAGTTTTAAGAGCCAACAAAGCAGGCTGCTGTCAAATACTGTAGTCAATACTAAAGCAAATGTTTTCTGCTAAGCTGCTTGTCAAGTTTTGCTTGCACCTGTGAAAGAAGCTATGTTGCAGATGATGGAAATATTTGAGAGAGATGCTGAGTACAACCTAATTTTATCTTAATGTGTGTGCTTTGCAAAATAACAACTCAGTTTTGAGTTTGTATTACTGGATTAGGTTACGAGGCTCATGTAAAATACAATACTCTGGAAATCATCTAGATCATATTATATCTACTGAATGTTCACTTCAATGTTCAATTCTTAATTACTGAGGATTCACTAAACTGTATTAATGCTGAAAGGTGCTTGAAATGTTTAAACCAAATGATATGAATACATTTTGACATAGGTGGAAAAATTATATAATAGGCAATTCTTCAGCCTGTATGATTGAGAATTAGGGGACATTCAAAATGGTGACTGTGTACACCAGTTGGGAATATAAGAGGGCCCCTCATGTACAGCACCTTTTTGGTGTTCTGTTTTCATTGGCTTCAAATTGAGCCATTGTTCATTGTCTTCCACCTGCCAGCAAAAATCACCAGTGGGTGGAACAGTGGCTCACTTGAAAGCCAACAAAACATGGAACACCAAAAATCGTGCTATATAAGCTGGGCTGTCCTGTAGAAGAAATGCTCTAGATGTAAGCTAGGGGCTGATTCTTTCATTAATTTATTGCTTGGATTATGCCTGCACCCTTTAACTGGTTTATTGGTTATTATTTTTGCATTATAGTTTTAGCTTGAAAGTGTGTGTGGCTTTTAAAACTTGTCAAACATTGAATAATTTCACAGGCTTAAGGACTGTGGAAATTTTATAACTTCCTTACTTTGCTTTGCTTTGACAATGATATACTATACACACAATCTTCACATACAACAAAGAAACTTATGACAGTGTTTCAGTCTGACTCTGATCATTAACCCTTTCAGGGTTGACAGGCCCTCTCAGAGACTTGTTCTCAGGGTCAGCCAAATTAAAAAAAAAAAAAAAAATTTATGAAAAGATAGAGAATCTTTTCCCGATCATAATGACACCAAAAGTATAAAATTTGATGGATAACTTACAGAATTATGCTCTCGTGAAGTTAGCGGTCTCGACGATGTTTACGCATTCGGCGATTTTGCCCACTTTGAGCCCTATTTTCGGCCAATTTCCAGTATACTTGTTGACAAAAATCATAACTATTTCACTAGAACTCCATTTTTCTATCGAATGAGTACAAGAAACCACCCATTTACCAATTTCAACTATCCAATACAATGGTCAGAATTTAGCAATTTTGCCAATTTCACACAAATTTCAAAAGATGCCAATTTCTGAATAGGGTCCAGAATAAACAAGAAAGACATTCCTGGCACTAAAATAACATTTCCTCTGTTCATTAGCCACGTCCCAGGCCCCTCTTACATTCTTTTGCTTTCCACTTTGAATTTTTATTCTGACAAAAAAAAAAAAAATAGAAGATTTACTGTTATGCAGACTACTGCATTGGTGTAAAAATGGTATAAATAATATCAGCGCACTTGTGAAAGAATATTAGACTCACCAGTTGACGTGTATTGGACGCATAGCATGATTTGTTTACTTTTGAACTTGGTAAAAATCGAACATTTCTGCTACTTTGAGCTCAATTTCAGGGTACTTTTCTTTCGTAAAACCAGTCAAAATCATCTCAATTTCTGTAATATGTCTTCCATTCTATAAAATGAGACCAGGAAAACTAGAATACAACAGTAAATACCATACAAAAATATAGTGCAAAGTTGCAGTTTTAATCCAAAAACACGGTCAAAAGTTTTTTTTTTCTCATTACACACTGTGTGCTGCAGGATTTTTTTTATACCGTGCACGCTGACCACATAGACCCATTCTTTCATATGTAGGCCTACCAGCTTTCTCTCGCTAGATTTGAGGGCGCTAAAATTTAGACATACTAGTACGTCAAAAACCCTGGCTCGTAAGCCGTACTAGTACGGCTGAAACCCTAAAAGGGTTAATGGTCCAAGTTGGACCAGAATGTCATCTTAACTTTTTCTCCTATGTGCAGGCTATTTGTGTATTATTCCAGTAACAGTATTGTGTCTTTTTATTCTTTAATGATATACCATTAAATGATTCATCATCATTAGAGATTTGTTAGCCATGTTAAAAAGATTTTTTTTTTCTTTTTACTATTCTTTGCTTGTTGTATGTTATTCTGTTCTAGAAATATGTAGCACATATTTTTGGGAAGTACAAGTTTTATATTGTGAAAACGTGATGGTTTTGACTGGCAGTCTTAACCCTTTGTGTCGCAACTCCTGCTCGCAAACTTGCTCTCAGGGTTGAATTTTCAAAAAAAAAAAAAAAAAAAATGAAATGATAGAATCTTTTTTCAAGGGTAACGAAACCAAAAGTATGAAATTTGATTAAAAATTTAGGAAATTACGCTCTCGCAGTTAGCTGTCTCGGTGATATTTACGCATTGGCTATTTCTCCCACTTTGAGTCCTATTTTCAGCCAATTCCATTGTTCCAGTCAACCAAACTTATAGCTATTTCGCTAGTACTCCTTTTGTTCTATTGATCGAGTACAAGAAACTGCCCATTTACCTATTTCAGCTACCTAACAAAGTGATCAGAAATTGTTAATTTGGCCAATTTTATGCATAATTCAAGAAAGGCCAATTTCAAAATAGGGCCCAGTATAAACATGTCCAGACATTCCTGGCACTAGAATAACATTTTCTTTGTTTATTAGCCACGTCTCCAGGCCACTTATATTACGCTTGGTTTCCATTTTGAATTTTTATTCACAAAAAAATGGAAGATTTACTATTATGCATTATTGAAATAATTGTATAAATAATATAAGCATATTTCAGAGCACACATTAGACCCACCAGTTGACGTGGATTGGACAAGTGATGTGATATGTTTACTTTTGAACATCAGCAAAAATCGAACATTTCCGCTACTTTGACCTAAATTTTCAAGCTATGTATTTTCGTTTCTGAAACCAATTGAAATCTTCTCTTATTTCTGTATTATACAGTGGATCTCCGTTATCGTAATTAATCAGTTCCAGAGAGAGTGACTAAAGCCGAATTTGATGATTTACGAATTCATTTTCCCCACAAGAAATAATGTAAGTCCAATTAATCCGTTTCAGACACCCAAATTAATAAAAAAAAATTTTTTACATGAAGTATACATTTACCTACACAGAAAACAATGAGACATGAAGAATAAAACAATAAAAACATGACACTTACCTTTATTGAAGACTTCTTAGTGTATTGAAGACAGGAGGAGAGGATGGAGAAATTACTGTTTGGAAGGAGATTCCCCTTACTTAAAGATTTCAGGTACCAAGTCCTTTTCTAGTTACTTCAGTTCTTTGTTTTTTAATGTCACTAGGACCAGCATGAGTCGCTGGATCTCTGTCGCTCAAAACAGTGTTCTAGAGAGGTCTGTTTCTGGCATATGTTAGGAATTGTGGGGGCAGGAGGGGAGTGTGTTAGGAGACAGGACAAGATAGTCCTTCAGTATGACATAATATCAACTCTGTGGCTTATTTATCTAGCACAGTTAATCTAATATGACACAATAAACAATATTAATAACATAAACATTATATACTCTAGAATGAATAAAATGTGTCATTACGTATGTGACGAATGTTGTGTTTGTTGTTGGGTGTACAAGGGCCACTGAAAGATAAGCCTTACATAGTGGTGGTGATGGCGACAGCAAAGGCAGCGGTGTTAGTCAGTAGCCCTATACGTATATCTCCAACAGCATTGGAGGAGTCAGTTTCATGCTGTCCTTTTTCTATCAATTAATCACTAAACTTACTTGCTACACTGTTACTGCTACATTTTATCGCTGGCTGGCGCTATAGACTTTATTGACTCTTGCTGCTTTAGTATCGTACATATCGCAGAATCACTGAAGAAGACACATTCTCCCTCTCTCTCAGCCCTTTACCAAAGGGCTGGCTGGCACTAGGAACTTTCTTTGGGCTCATGGTGGCTGTTGCAAGCACTAAAAAGAATGGAATAATACGAAATGTATCGTATGAACACGTGGGATCATGCTCACTGGCTGATAAACAATGGCACACTGAGTGTCGGGCCGCTGTTGCCATGCGAACACGTTCGGGACGAATGACTATTACTGAGCTCAGTGACGATCACCGAGCCAATATTTTGACGAAAAAACATTACCATTTCTTAAGAATTTAATCCGTTCTGTGACCTAGCTCATATCCCGATCTGCTCGTATGCCGAGTCAATTTTCCTTATTTAAATTAATTGAAGTGCCATTAATCTGTTCCAGTAGAATTCCTGCTCTCAGGAGGCAGGACAAAATGCTTTCAGTATAATGCTGATATCAACTCTCTGGCTTATTTATATATCACATTTGATCTAATATTTGAAAATGGTTTAAAAAACTGATAAGTTGAAGACATAAATAATACAAATAACATAGAAACCTGATATATACTCCAGAATGAATGAAATGTCATTATGTGACAAGTGGAGGTGGCCATTCCCGCTCCGACTTTGCTGTGATATTCACTG